CAGATTAAATTAATAAATTATAATGAAACAACACTGAGACGGAATATCAATAGTGATATCATATAGAGTTAATTATAGAGAATGCTGAATAGATGAACTTAGTTAAGAAAGCGTACAAGTATATATCAACAGATATAAAAAAAATGTAAGAATTAAAGATGAAGATGATTGTATTGAAAATTATATGTATATTTCAGTAACTCTGATATATTGAGAATGAATCATAACTCTTTGAACAGTAAGTCAGATTGCTATTTATATAAAGAGCTTTTATCAAACTCCTTCTTTTCAAATTTCTTCTTTTCATTGAATGTAATGAGATGCAATCCTATTTGATTAATGCTAATAGAGACTATATCTAACATTTAAACAACATTATCTATTTATATCATGATGAATATTATATTATCAACTTCAAAAATGCATATAGAAAATGAACAGTCTTCTCGGGGTCTAAGTTTTAGTTGCGTAGTCAACTATCTTGACGTACTCAAAGTCATCAGAGCTAGTTCATGACATATCTCAAAAATCAAAAGAGCCATTGCTTCCCTCTCTCAGTACCCACAAGTCTCATTGAGTTTTCTTGAGTTTTGAGGCTGTACCACTTCTGTTGAAGCGGAGTAATTATAGGCTCTCTGCCTGGGCTAGGTAGTGTTTGAGGGGGGTTGGCCCTCATCATCATCTTCATCCTCGCCAATGGAGCAACTTCTATATCCGCTGTCTGCAAACAAGGCAACCAGGGCGGAGACGGGCATTCCTCTTGCTCCTCCTCTCCTTATCGTCAGCTCCTGCCCGACGAGGGTGAGGCGCCATGATCAAGGCAGCCCACAAAGAGCTGGCCGCAGAAAGAGAGGCAGGAATCAGTGTGGGTGAGCGTCAACAATGGCATCCTCCTCTGCAAGGGTGATCAAGCGGGCGATTGCGAGTGAGGGACCACGGAAGTTGTGAGCCACAAAAAGATTGGCTTGTTGGTGTGCGTGGAGGCAAGGGCGGTGGTTGTGGGAATTGTTTTATGTGAGTATTATATGTTTGATATTTGCTCACAAATTTTTGTTTGCAATTCTAAATATGAATTAAATCCAGTATCTATTCTTGCCTCCAGATCTCATATGGTCACCAATAAGATTAAGATAATCGAAGATGTAAAATGAGCTAAACTGAACTAGGCTCTCTTTTTACCCTTGAGTAATGGAACATAAGCACAAACCATAGCCAATATGAAAAAAAAGGGGCTGAGGTGGTAAAAAAAACAAGGCCCCAAAGGTTCCCAAATTGCTACTTGCGGAAAGTTAAATTCTTTCATGAAACCTGTCAGATAACGTAATCTACCACCAGGGCGGATTCTCTGAAAACTATTAAATATTCATGAAGTTAACGACCAACACGCTTAGATATTGAAAATATCAATAAATTATGACTGCAGCGTAGTAGGGCTTACTGGTGAGATATAGCTTCAATCTAAGCTTCAACCTGTATATCAAGCTGCTGAACGCGCTCATGACTCTTTTATGAAGATAGAATGGTATTCTGATCTAGATTAGTATGTCTCTGTGTTTTTTCTTTCATCTTCCACTCATTCTCTGCTTGTAGAATCTTGATTTCTTGATGAAGAAGAAGATTTGTATTCATAGCCATCTGTGCAGTGTTTTCAACATGTTGAAGATAAGATATTTAAGTTACTAGATAGATGTTTCTTCTCATTTATACTTCTCTGCAGGTGATGAACCTTATGATCAAGCTGATGAGTAATCTAAGATGTTTGAAATGCTGAAGATATTGAGTTCTCAGCATTAATGATAATGATGATATTGATATATATAGTTGAAAGATGAATTTTAATAGAGCTCTTTTTATATTTAATAATTTAAACTTTATTTCAATAAAAAATTACTATAAATACTTTTATTAATAAAGACTTTTTTTTTATATATAGATAAATAAAAAAATAGATTTTTATTTTTATTAATATAATTTTTTTTATAATTATCATTTTTTAATTAACTTTTTATATTTATATTTTAATAATTTAATAATATTAATATATAATAGTTAATAAATATAAAATATATAAATAAATATATAAAAATAAATAATTATATTATATTTATAAATATTAATAAATTCTATAATTAAATAATTATTATAATTATTAAAAATAAGTTATTATTTTATATTTACCAAATAGTATTTAAAATATAATTTAAATATTTTTAAGTTTATATATTTTTAATATATTAATAATTTAATTATTAATATTTATATTTATTTTTTAATTTTAAAAAAGTTGATTTTTTATATTAAAATATTTAATATAAAATTTTTCTTTTAATTATTATTAATAAAATAAAATATTGTTTTAATTTTATATATTTAATAATTATAATTTATTTATAATTTTTTACTATATTTAATTATAGTAATAATTTTAAAAAGTATATAAAGTCTTATTTCAAAGTTTATTATATCAAAGTTTTCAATATTATTTTTATAAATTTTATATTTTTAAATAACTTTATATATTATCTTTAATTATTATTTTATAATATTTAAATTTTTTATCTTTATCTATTAATAAAATATATATTAACTATAGTATATATATAGTTGAAAATAATAAATAACTCTAGATATTTAATTGACTCTAAGAATAATGATAGAATTAAAAGTATATACTTAAAGAAAAATAAATTAGTATTAATTTATATATAAACTCTGATCAGATTAAAAAGTCTCACTTATTTGCATTCAGTAATTGCTAAGAACAGATTTCTTTTCAATATTTATCAACTTGTGATTATTTGTATATGTTTTTGGATATGATCTGATACAAGTAAATTCTTTATGCAGAGTAGTTTCAGAAATCTTATATATCTTTGCAGCTTTTATCTTTGATATAACTTTTTTTTGATTTATATGCAGCAATGGCCAACTGTATATGTGATTCTTGAGATAAAGACATTTCGAGTAAAACACATGAAGAAATGAGGTGTTAAAAATAGTTTAAGTTGAATATTTGAAGATTTTCGGAGAGAATCCGCCGCTCAGTGGTATCTGCTATTCGGTAGTTAGTGGATTACGTTACCTAGCTGGAGTTGTTAAGCTAACAGCCGCCATCATCATTGGCCGTTTGAATTTTCTCCTACTGTCATTCTGGGCTATTGGATTTTCGATTTTCTTGGCCCTGGGTGTTTCTATTGGCATTCGCATATTAGCAGGCAACTCTTTGCCTGAACAGGTGGAGAAAATGGTTGCAGGTGAATACAGGTACAGTCATTTTTTGAGCACTTTGACGTTGCAGGATGTTCCAAAATAAAGAATTAACTATCCATAGGGAGGCAAGTTGGGTAGGTGCCTGCGTTGGAAAAGAAATCTCATGTCGACTCATTGTATTTGCTTATTGACCCATATATCGATAACTATTGCACCTCCGAAAAAGCCGAGGAAATCGGTAACTTGTCAACATGTCAAAAACTATTTTGGTGGAGCATAGACACGGGATAGTTACTAATAGAAATGTTGTTTTATGAATAGGCAAGGCACTGATGCTTCGTCATTGAGAACTGACAATTTCCCGAAATCCCAGCAAACTCCAATGACCCAGCTCCATTGGTTTTTTTTTTTTTTTTTTTTTTTTTTTTTTTTTTTTTGGTGGCACCCTTCTGGAAACCGTCTCCAGAATGCTGGTGGTCGAGGAAGTCCGTCCCCAAATGATTTGACAATTGCGTCTGGCTAGGGTCCTGCCAAGGCGCCTGAAGAAGTCTTCCATGGAAGTTTTTTGCCTTCCACAAACACCCTGGCGACTCTTAGGCAAGCTGGTGTTTCTGACGTGCCAATAGGACAGTAAGTAATAATAAAGGGTGTTCCAATCATCTACAACCCTATGTTTGCTGACACCGAGCACTGAGCACTGAGCAGTCGAAGGAACGGGAGGAAAGAAACTCAAAAATTGTAACAAAAAGGAGAATAGATAACCGCGTCAGTCCTCAAATAAGACGGGTGGTTGGAATATTTCCTGGTGTAGCCTTCTGTATCAATCGCTTTTCAGCCACAGCAGGGCAGATGCATGAATGCTGTTGATATTCAGACGTAGGATTGAAAACTTTGTATTTAACTTATCGGTGTCATTCCCTTGGTTTGTCAGCAGCGGATATTTGTGGAGTAGAATACCGGGGATTAAATACAGCAGATATACCGACAGATTATGGGCACAATACAACCCAAGTACATCCACGGGATATAGTGTATGGATAGATACAGTTCTGTAGGCAAACGCACTCTGTACCGTGAGTGTAATATTACTTACCCTAGGTACCGCCCAAACCAGTTCCAAACCAGCACAACCACTGTCTTCATCAGCCTCAACCCTTGAACCTCATCCTCATCTTCATCTGCTCCTCTCACTCACTCACCCTAATTTACCCAACGCCTCACACATCCCCAGACTGGAATTTCTCCTATCCCTCTCCTCTCTTCAATCTTAGTTGCCCCCTCGATTCTGCCTGCTGCTGGTCATCGTGGATTGCTTGCTCCCCAGTCCTCTCCTCTCACCCTGCTGCCAGCCATCCCTGAGCATATCCAGTGGTTGGTGTGGCCATTTGCCCTGTCTGTGCTGTGGTAGAGGGGACGACTCTTCTGTTTACTATATTCAAAGATCTGTCACCTTCGCATCTGGTGCTTCCACCACTGCAACTGCTGGAGTCCCAAGTTCTCCACTCTATCTCATTAACCATTATTCCAGCCAACCACCCTCTCTGCCTCCTGTCCCAGGGCCCCCAATAATAGTGCTATTGGTGCAATCCCAGCTAGGTCGCTTTCTAGTTCCCACATCATTTCTCCCAACCACAACCACAACGGTTACCACAACCCTCCACTGCCTCCTCCCCCGATCGACCATTCGCCAAATTTTGCTCTCCGTTAAACTACCACCCTTCTTCCTATCCATCCTCTTCCCATCCAGTTGACCACCCTCTCTCTATTCTTTGTGGTCTCGTTAATCTACCATGGCGGCCGATTTGAGCGGCGAGCAAATGCAGGCGAAGATCACCGCTGCCCGTCGTGAGGCAGAGGGTCTAAAGGATCGCATCAAGCGCAGGAAAGATGAGCTTGCGGATACCTCTCGTAAGGACTGCTGTCTCTTTTACTCTTCACCCCATCTCCACATATGTTATCACCCACCATGGCATCTATGAACTCCTCTGAATCTCTCTTTACACAACTCTCGTCCATTGAACCCAGCCAAGTCATAAGAGTTTTCTCACTCGTTGGGGCTTTCTCGCACATGTCCACCAGTCATTGGCTCTATCCCCATCCCGAGGTTAAACCCAGGCCATTGGTTAATTAATACTGACATAACATACCTTCCTCATAGTTCGTCAAGTCGCACAGAACAATACGGACCCCCTTCCACGAATTGGAATGAGACCGCGACGGAACTTAAAGGGCCACTTGGCCAAGATCTATGCGATGCACTGGTCGACAGACCGCCGCCATCTGGTTTCTGCCTCTCAAGACGGGAAACTAATCATCTGGGATGCATACACAACAAACAAAGTGCACGCCATCCCCCTAAGATCGTCATGGGTGATGACTTGCGCCTATGCCCCGAGCGGTAACTATGTCGCCTGTGGTGGTCTAGACAACATCTGTTCCATCTATAATCTTTCCTCTCGAGAAGGTCCAACCCGTGTCGCACGAGAATTGTCCGGCCACACCGGTTACCTGTCATGTTGTCGTTTCGTAAATGACCGTCGAATCATCACTTCTTCCGGCGACATGACCTGTATGCTATGGGATATCGAATCGGGGTCGAAAGTCACTGAATTCGCCGATCATCTGGGTGATGTTATGAGCATCAGCATAAACCCGACAAACAACAACGTTTTCGTCTCCGGCGCATGCGATGCCTTTGCTAAACTCTGGGATATCCGCGCTGGGAAGTCGGTACAAACATTCTCCGGTCATGAATCGGATATCAATGCCATCCAGTTCTTCCCTGATGGCAATGCTTTTGGTACCGGATCGGACGACACCACCTGCCGTCTATTCGATATCCGCGCGGATAGAGAACTTAATACATACCAGGTAATATTATTAATTCAAACGCCTCATGACTTAAATTGTCAACATAAAAGTTCGTTGGATAACTGACATGATCTTTTATATTATACGCAGAGTGATCAAGTACTTTGCGGTATTACTTCCGTTGCGTTCTCAGTCTCTGGTCGACTTTTGTTTGCTGGCTACGATGATTATGAGTGCAAGGTAAGTCAACCTATTTATTTGCTATCCCTTTTGTGCGAACCAAACTAATTAATACGTAATCTTTTCAAGGTCTGGGACGTTCTAAGAGGAGAGAAGGTCGGTTCACTGAGTGGCCATGAAAATCGTGTCAGCTGCCTGGGCGTCAGCAACGATGGAATCAGCTTGTGCACAGGATCTTGGGATTCTCTGGTGAGCGTTCAATGATTAGTTCAATTCTACAGTGAAGTTCCCCTTGCTGATATATGGTTTTTTTCCAATCTTCAGCTCAAGGTCTGGGCATGGTAGACTTGGTTTAGGCCAAATTATCGATCGTTGATGGTGGAACTGAACGAACACCCCACACCACCCGCCTTCAATTTTGCAGTTCTCGTACCACACACCCTCCCCCCCTCCCATCGACAAGGAAGTTTTTTCGCCTACAACATTCATATTCCGTATATCCGTTTCTCTCCCACACAAACACCATGATATCCTCGAGGAACTGTGCCATCTACAGGACAGGCATATATAATTGCAAGCATGCTTCTCAAAAATTTAACTACAGGGGGACGGACTCGAGCTTCTCGTCTCTTTCTCACAACAGCCTTCTTACACTCGTAAGGCGACACAGAATAACATCAAACCTATGATGACATGAAGGAAACAAACCTTGTTCCTTAATCCTCGCCATCCCTGCACACCTCTCTGACACTATAACCCCCTTCTTTTGTCCCTTAAGTGTCTTAATTTTCGGAACTAGAAGAAGATGAAAAGAGAGGAGTCAAGATCCTACCTTTTACTTCCTGCTCACAAAAGCTCACGAAACGAAAAGAAAGGCACTAGAGGAATAAAAAATTGAGACTCTTGAGCTGCGAGATATCATTTGGATAATAATCTTTTTGATGGGATTTTCCTTCATTTTTTGTTCTTCACTTCAGTATATCCAAGTACTTAATTTCTGGTTGCCACTTTTTCAGCTTTTGTTGATGTTTTCTGTCTTTTTAAATGGCTCTCTGTTCTCCCCCTTACTGTTTACCTACACATACACCGTTTTACTTTTCTTTATGGTGCTGGTTTCCTTATTTTCCTCCCGTTAATTTTTTATACCTCGGGCTTGGAAAGGATTGTGAGCCTTTATTATTTTCCTTATAGTCTTTTGCTCCGTTGTTTTAAACCCCCATTATCAGGCTATAAGTTTCTTCATTTTTCTTCCCTACTTTCTTTGCTGCCGGGTTTCTCTCTCTCTTTCTCTCTCAAAAATTCTTTTTGGGGATTTCTTCGTCGTTTCTTCCTTGTTTGATTCCTACATTCCGAATTGCCTAGGTGTGTACTACCTTTTTCCCCCTTTTCTTTCTTTCTCTATAGCCATTGGTCCTCATGTACTCCTGATATTTCCTCCTAGGTCCTGTTCTTAACCCCACGTTCTATTTTCCATTATGTTTTCCTTATCTCCACCTATCATTTTATGTCTCACATTTCTTGTATTTTCTTTTTTTCATGGTGCTCTTTTGTTCTCTTTTATAATGGCCTGCAAGTGGCAACCCCCACGGATTCTTAAGTACCGGACCAATTAAATGCATTTTTTGTATGGGGTTTCTTACCATTTCGTTATATATGTATGATCGCACACAACAGAAAATTTGAGAGGGCACCAGAGTGGTTTCATTTCGTTTGATGGTATGTTTTGGGTATGGCAAATGCCATTGAGAAAGGATTGGTGGGAAAGCGTTGATGTATGTCAGTCAATCTTGTTTTGATTTTAATTCGTCTTCAACAATTTTTCCATGGTTAATTCCTTTACGTATATGTCAGGTTTATCATCACAAATAGGGTAATATTTCAGAGTTGTCGGAGCCGTTAAGCGTGCAGATTATTGTTGAAATATTACCTCTGTATCACCGATTCGTACCTCGCTTCCGACAACTGGCTAGGCAAACGGGGATTACCCGAGGTCAACACTCTTTCAGGGTCTTCCGCCCGTTGATGCAAATGTATCAATCGTGTCATTTTCAATCTTCCCAATTCATCGTGGTAATCTACTATATAACCAAGCTAATCTATAATTATATCCTCATCTCCTCCTATGGATAGTTTCTTATATACCTAGCGTCGTGCGTAATATTATGGGACGTCGGAATCCAACAAATACAAAGACCAAAATCGGCGATCTCGATGTTGGACTTGAAAGCTGCTATCATGTGCAAGCTCCGGAATGTCTGGCTGAAATCTAAATTTCTCTTCTCCTTCCACAGAATATCGCAATTCTGTTATAAATATATATATATACAAACGCCAACGTTAATCTGTCCATGTATTGCTATTTCTATGGAATATGTCTGCATGGCGAAAGAGGTAACGTTTCAGCAGTGGGGTGAATAAGTTATAGTAAGTGTTTCAACGCGCTTCTGCTGTTTTGTTTTCACAATCCATCCCTCCCCTCACAGATTTGTCCTCTCCACAAAATTAACAGGTGCTATAGGTGTCCCTGTAGATAAACATGCCTTGATATTTTCAAAGCATTCCCTCTCAGACAGGCTGAATGCGCCATCTGTCAGACCTCCCATATGAGGTTGTAATATCACTTTATCGCTGGTGATGTAATAGGGACTAAAGGGGGGGTGTAAGTCAAGTCTTTCTCCTTTCGCATTTATAAAAATCAGAAATCAAAATAAAGACATACTTTATCTCCGGCTCATTGGGAAACACATCTAGACCCGCCATCTTCACCTTACCCAATTCCAGCGCCTCGATAAGCGCATCTTCGTCGACTATCTTTCCACGGGCAGTGTTCACGAAATAGGCGCCGTCTTTCATCTTGGCAAACTCCTTGCAACCAATCAGGCCTTTGGTGGAGGCGTTTAGGGGGCTGTTTATAGACACGATATCGGAGGTAGACAGGAGCTCATCGAGCGTGGAGCAGTAGGTGGCTGAGTATTGAGCTTCGACGTCGGCTGGGAGCCGGGTGCGGTTGTAGTATTTGATTTTCATGTTGAAGATGAGGGCTTTGCGGGCGAGGTGCTGGTGACGTCTGCTATTAGCGGTTTTATTCCTGTCATTGTATCCATATCTAATGTCCAAGTATTTATGACAGAACTTGACCAATATCCAGCCCGATATTTTTCGTGCCCAAGTTGAGCTTCCGTTGCGATATAGTGACCAACCGTACATACGTCTAATGCCCACGAAAGGAAAAATTACTCATGGCCATAGAGCCATTGAGCAAGGAAGGGCACACAATCTGAACAGAGAAATCCGAATCCAAGAACACGCCCAAAGAGGCCGTCTTACATACCTTCCCGATATTCCCCATGCCCACAATCCCCAAAGTCATCCCACTCGGATCCCTCGTTGGCACAAGCCCGTTTCTCCAATTCCCCCCTCTAGCTGACTTTTCTGCCACTGTCGTGTTTTTCAGGACAGCCAATATCAAAAACATGCTCATATCTGCAGTAGCCTCCGACACGGCATTTCGTGAATTGCAGAACCAGATCTTGTTGCGCGTCATCCAATTGACGTCGAACTCGTTGTAGCCTGCAGAGCAAGAGGCTATGACCTTACAGTGCGGGACAAGGGCGCCAAAGAGGGCCTCATCGAATGGCTCAAAGGGCAATGTTCCCATGTGCACCATCACGGCGTCAAAGGGGCCGTGGCGCTTGACGAGATCCGCGATTTCTGGGATAGCACCAGCTCGATCAGTGGAGGTGAGGACCTGAGGTATGGGCGTTAATTATGGCTTTGTTACTGTGGTTGGGGAGTTTGGTGGGGAGGGGAGGGGAGGGGAGGGGAGGGGAGGGGGTTACGCAGAACTCATATTTTGATTTGAAGTCTGCGAGATATTCCTCGTCCGTGTACCCGGGAGAGCTGAGTGCAAGAACTCTTGGCTTTGCTCCTCCTGCAGATGATGACATATTCGATACGGATCGGATTGCTTGCTGTATCTGCTCTGTATCTTAATTCCGGAAGATCTCTGCCGATGGATGAGTTGTCGACTCGCCCCGAAATTGCGTGTGTATATATTCGGGAAACCTTTGAAGATACTTAGTTCATTCTAGGATGCCAATCCGTCTGTTGGATCATTATTAGTTAATAAACTGGATAACCCCAAGTGGATAGCATGATTCCGCAAAAGACGGTTCGAACCAGTCAAATCTCCGATGCAATGTTAAACACGACAGGAGCCGAATTCACGGCCGAATTGTAAGTCCGAATTTACTCGATCCTTGTGGGCCGTGATTCTTGGTGTTGAACTCGCCGGCTGAAAGTAGTGATGTTTGCGGAGTGAAGCCGGTGTTGAAATCGTGTCCGCGACACACCGCTAAGTCCTAACCCCTCATGCGATATAGAGATAGCCGGGATAGATATCGATCTCTGTGGGGACCGGGGAAAGGCTTGATGCCGATCCATCATACTTTTAGGCTTTCCATTCAGTAATGGTATTAATTCTACGTTAAACCTTGTGGAAGAATGATGATACGCTGTATATAACTAGGTTACACTCAACCGATCTTTCAATATCCACAATATATCTACAAATTACAATCTCACAAGTTTCTCATACAGCTATCCCGTTCGAAATAAGAGCAGACGGATCAAAAGTCAAAGGAACGCAATCAACAAACCAATCATTCAGTATTGTCTGCAATCGTTGCCACAGAAGAAGCGGGATCGACCTCCATCAACAAGCAATCAATTTCAGGCAAACCCGCTAATCATTCTCTCCATGAGATCCCCACCCTTTGAGAGCGAAGGGGTAGAGCAGAATCATATGGCCGGTACCTTTCTCATCTTTGCAAAGTTGGCATTCGCCGATGGCGCATATGACTGGTATCATCGTTTTACCGGTTTATTTTTATTTTCTCTAACTAACAGTTTTGCAATGTAGATACAGAACCGTGATGCCGTTTCGAACTCCGAGAGCTATAAGTTTCCTACGGGGCATGCCATTCCATTTACCAGAAACATAGGGTGAAGAGGATCTGTCGACTCCGGTCACATCTACTGCGAAATACATCGGCATATGTCCCCTCCGCAATGCTTCTAAACATGCCAATTAGAAGTTCTACATCTACAGATTCCATCAACCAGGAAGGTTTCTGGATCATCTTAATTTCGCATCCACCCTGTTTCCCTCGAGCCGTAACTGCAGAAGCCATCTCCGCCGACAGAGCTATCTGAAACAGAGAAGACCCGCTCACATTGTGGCTTTCCTCCCGAAATAATAATAGATCCGTTACGCCAAGCACTTCGGCTGTATCACTGTTGCGGATCTTATACCGGTGGACCGCGATGGAGATCCTCTCACGGCAATTGAGCATGAAACAAGCACGGGCGGAATTCATGCTCCATTCCTTAATCCACAGGGCACGACCGGACATCAATGCGGCTTGCCACATGTATTCGCCCTATAGGGTGAGCCTGCTCGACCTTTGGCAGGGGGCTTGAGATATTGAACCAAGGCAGGTCTGCCAGCTGGAATTTCCTTGCGCTGCCTCGTTATTTTTCTTCTTCTTCTTCTTCTTCTTCTTCTTATTTTTAATTTTATATTATATACTTATATTTTTCTTTTCTTTTCTTTTCTTTTCTTTTCCTGTTAAAATGGATGTTGTGGAGTGCATTATGTCGCCGGGCTCCTTTTCTTGTTCCAGGTTTCAGCTCTCCTGAAACAACCGAGTGATTGCATGGTTAGTTAGTTTACCCCTGTCCCAGCGTGTTCCATATTGTTCGAGAACATCCTCTATGGTCACCTGGTGGCATACCAGGGCTTTTGGAGGGATCGTTCTAGCAAAAGACGAGGGTGAGAATATTGCTCGTGCTTTAGGGCTGAAGAAAAGGAACCTTTTTCTCCAGCATCACGAGTTAGTGTGTTCCACCATACCCTCACTAATCTACCGGAGATCCTTTCCATCGCTGTTGATCTGTTGCCACGTATGGTTTGTGAAAAGCGAGTTTGCAGCACAACAATTCCAGAAGAAGTGTCGAATAGGGCATGTCCACATCTGCAGACTTATCAGTTGGCTCGATTGTCGTTGAGACAGCAGCCTTTTTCATTGCATGGCAACGGTCCGTCCTGTCAAGCTCAGCTGTTGGTTGAACACGCCACTGCCCATACACCGGGACTCCAGAAGAAGAATGTTGGGGATGGAGGAGCTGCGTATACCAAGAGAGCGCCAGGATGCCCAGCAGCGATGTACATGCAATTGGTCCCAGAATATGAGTTGATTTTCAAGGAGACGAAAGGCAAGTTTACTCAATGAAAATTAATATTGAAAGTGGGATTCGCGAGGTGATCCTTATCATGGAGGGGAAATCGTGTTATAACGATATGAGAACATCCATACTCTCGTACTTGCTTGCTGTACATTTTCTTTATTTTTTCAACGTCGGGTACGTGTGACAAGGAAGCAGCATGGAGGTCATCTAAATGAAGGGTCTACACTTTAGGATAAAGCAATGCTATATCGGAACACCCTCACATCCGTATGTGATCTCCCTGCCTCTGGAATAGTTGCTGTGTTTGATGGCAGCAGCAGTTTGCTATGATTTCTTGCTCGCCATGAAGCTCTTTATTAACTTGTTGCCCACTACTTCGGCTGGGAAAACACAACGGCTGGCATTGCACAGCGGCCGTCACCTGGAAAACTGGGGGATACCTACCGGGTCGTTTGGGATCTGTCGCGTCGCAGAGAGGTATACTTGTGAAATATACATACTTAAAGAAATATGTCAATGAACACCACAGATCTGATTGGTATGATTTCCAAAAATGAAAGCCGTAAAAACCGCTGACATCTTTAAGGATCGCAGGTTAGTTATGTTGCTCCAAGCTCATTATATAATTTTCTCATTCACGAGGAGGGAAAATGGTCTGCCAGTAGTTGACATATCCAACTCTCGGTGCTTGACATACCATCGAACATATGCAGCGGGATATTGATTCGCGTTTTTTGTTCCACAATCCGGTCCCGCCCGTTCCTGTCCGGCGAAGAAAGGCAGAGTTCTCATCCAATCTACGGGCACGACATACTGAAGAACCAAGTGGGAATATTGTTGGGGGAATTTAGTGTGCCAAATAAAAAGGCCAGATTACCATTTTTGCATAGATTTCTATTAATGCCGGCGAGTAAAGGCGGTTTGTGGATCGCACCAAGGCTCTGATGTGCTCGGGTGGACGGAGGAAACAAAAAAAAAAGGGAATGAAAAGAAAAAAGAAAAAGAAAAAGCCTTGGATTATTTGACCAAGGTGCCACGTGGAAGAAGACAGTCCCCCTAGATTTAGCGGGATCTTCAAAACGAACCAGTCGGATGAAATATTGCGCTGATTGCTGCTTTTCATGAGACTAGTTCCAGTCCCCGATCTCACAGGGATAGCCAAGATGATTTTGCTCCCTTATTCTTGGTGGTGTTCATGTTAACATGTAATTGCCCAATACTAATATATCTTAACCTGCTATGATATGGAAAAGAGGGATTTTGCGTGTAGTGGCACCGGATATACTCTCACATCCTACTACAGTTAAGACGAAACATAGACCGTATGAAGGGGAAAATCTTCTGTACCCCCGGGCGATTGGTAACCCCAATAACACTGGAGAGAGCAACTATATTGCATGAAGCACTGACGAGTTGGTTGGCACAGTTCGGGGTAACCAGGCCTCAAAAGCATCAATTTCACGCAAACTGAATTGTGGAAGGGCCTTTGCAGGCTCAGTTTCTTTCGGGATGATGGATGAAAACGCGGGCACGAATCGCAGAAATGACGATTGATGTCATTTTTCTCAATCCGATTTTGTTGGCACGGCCTAAGCAGTAAGGTCGGATATGAAGTCGATCGACTGCAGGAAGATCATTGCCTCTAGTCACGTCCATTGGTTTTTAGTTGGCTTCCTTGGCAGGAATCAGCCCCTTTTTATTTCAGCCATTCCGAGTCCCCAGTAATGTCTCACCATGGAACTTCGGAGCCTGGAGGAGAACAACCCCAAAGAGGCGGACACATGGCAAGCAAACCTAGTTCAACGTCACCATGTTCATTCCGTCACTGGTGTTTCAACAATGATGTCAAATAGCAATCAACTTCAAACTGGCTGAGTTGCAGGCATCTGGATTGTCGCCTTCCCCCGGACAGCAGATGATGGTTGCGTAGGCCCGCTGTTACCACTAGCTATTTTTGAGTGAACTCTTTGAGGATTGTACAGAAGAGCAACGTGTGGAGTTCCGAAAGTCGGAAGTCGGAAGTCGAAGGCGAAGGCGTAGATGGATGCTCTCCGTAACCCGGTAGTTACGGATAGTTTAGTTTCTTTTGAAATAAATTCTTTTGCTGAAGGAAACGAAAGGTTGTCACGAGACCGGCTGATTCATCCGTCAACGCCCAAGGAACAGAGTCTCATCTCATCTAACTAATTACTGAGAATACCAATCAAAAAATTCCCCACTCAACGGTGATTTTGTTGGGATTGCTCAATTTAGCTGTGGGGTCCTCTTTATTAACGGCCCAACCTGTTCAATGACTGTGGATTGGCTTTAATGACTGCTCGCTAGATTCCTGATCCACGCAACATTGTATACCGTCGCAGTACGGTTTGTTCTTGGTGACAGTCCAGGCCACTCATCCTCTGTCGCAATTCGATTTTATAGTGTCTGGTCTAAAAGCTGTGATCTGCACCGTTCATCCTGCTAGTTTAACAAAATATAAAAGGATCACCCATATCTGAGTGGGCTACACATCGATGGGCCCATAATAACATTGCTCACCTAGCCAATCCACATGTCCCACATGCGCCGGCTTTCACGATTGTCCTTTGCTTAAGGCTCAAGGCTGAAACAGGATCTGCGCCTCACGCCGCACAACAGTCTCTCTGCGTTTTGGGAAAGCTGGTTACACCGCCGTTCCCTGTCCCTTGTCCCTATTCCTTGCTCTTATTATCCTCCACCAATCTCTGACTGCACTCCGTCAACAAGGAACATTCCGTCTTCAGAAATCCATCGCCTATCTGCTTACCGCCCGGGTGGACTGTAACGAGGGAGCGCCATTACGAATTCTTTACGCGCTACCGCATCCAGACAAGGAGTTCACTGCTATATATAAGTCTGACAGGTCCCAGCCGCCCGAGTCGCGCTTTTGTTCCATTTCACAATGTCTTTCGCCCAGGACGAAGCAGATCGTCTTCTCAACCACAAAGAAAAGGTCTCCTGCCACCCAGAAGACCATCGCGCTTCGGATAACGATTCTAATTTTTCCTTTTCTGACGTCGAAAGTCTGACTTACGTACACTCCGATACGGAGACTGACACCTCCCACACCATGATTTCAAAAGATGTAGGTTATCATCTTCCCACCACCGTCTTCGAAGCGAACACTGGGCCCAAGGGGGTGATTGCAGATGCTCAGTCGTACGAGAGGGCAAAGAAACGCTCATTCCGTCGCACTATCATGAGTGTTACTGGCCTTGACAATACCTCCTATCCCGCCTCGACGAAAGAACAAGGTGACGCCCGACTGTCCAAAGAGACATCGCCGTTGCCAGATGAAACCGAAGACGAACAGTTCATGCGTAAATGGCGAGAAGCTCGTATGCTGGAACTACAGCGCAAGAGCAAGAGACGTGTCAGCCCTAGCAAGCGGAGATATGGGACAGTGGAAGCGGTTAATGCAAACGGGTACCTGGACGCCATTGAGATGGTGACCCCAGATGCTGTCGTCGTTGTCTGTATATACGACCCTGAGGTCAGTTCGCTTCTCTTTTTTGCATATTTCAGGAAGAAGTTACAAAATATCTAATCTTCTTTTAACACTAGTCTCCCGAAAGCAACATTGTGGAAGATTGCCTCACTACCATTGCTCGCAAACACGCAACAACACGATTCATAAAATTACATTATGAGATAGCAGAGATGGGACATGTCACTCCACCAGCCTTACTGGCATACAGAAACGGTGATGTGTTTTCGACAATAGTGGATATTTTCCATCAACTCCCCAGTGGACGAGATTGCAGTGCTTCAAGTTTAGAAGATCTCCTTATGCAGTACGTATCTCTCTTTCTCGTTTAGTTTCTGTGCACGATATTGCCAAATCAAAGTCCAAGCATCTTGTCTGACCTGTTCTTTTATGTTTTCAGGAATCGAATTGTCTGATCGATTCGACCATCCTCCCTTCGACGCGCTTCTCATTTGTCACGCTATACCCACTTTTTCTCCCCTCTCAGAATAACTCCTTCGATGTCACGATAGAATGAAACTCCATTTTGGTTACACAACGCAGATTAACCCCGGGAAAAGTCAATGAATTGGCGCTAATGGCGCATACGTCATCTTGTTCCGTCATTTTTTATCCGTTTAATACATTATCCTCAAGAAAAACCTGCGGGGCCTTTCCCTTATCCCGATGGAAATTTTGGCATTTGAATCGTATAGGAGCTTTTGTTCTATCTTCAGACATGACAAAGGACTGCATATCTTTGTCGTTTCATGTGTTTTTGCTTTTACCCGTGTTGGGTCTAAAAACCATCTCGTTCCTGGCCTGAAAAACGTCCTCTCCACTTGTCCAGTCCCACCTGAAGTTTTCTTACCACCAGCAGAGATGGGCGTTTCCAACTCCACTAGTTGTTTGTCCTTGTCTCAGCTTACTTCTTATAATTTTTTGCTTGCACACAACTGTTTTGTGCTGGTAATCCGTCGGCGCGCGTTTTTTTCTTTGTTGGCTTTTTGATGTGCATGTCGGTTGTCGTATTTACCTGTTGATATCCCTCTCATAAGCATGGGCTTTTGTTTCATTGAGTGTTTTTGCCCGGCAGTTTGTTGGAAGTGGATTTAAATTTTCTGACTTTCTCTCTTCCGTTTGTTTCTCTATGGCTGGTCAGATAGAATTTTCCATTATGAGTAAGTATTACATGTGCATTTAGCATTTATGGAGAAGGGGAAACATTCTTCTTACTCTTTTTATCTTTAAGTGATGGTGAGGGACGAGATGCAATTCGTCGATTTAACCTTAACTCTTACTCCGCTCCTTTCCGTTTGACGCTCTCCGATAGATACATACATTACAAACATACGTGAACATGTATTGAAGTACTCAGCTCGGGTAAATAAGGCCAATGGGTGCCTTTTAACGTGGGCTGTTCGGGCGTATGAAATCGGCGCAGTCCATTCTAGGCACCGTGGATATGATGCGGAAGAATGAAACCGTGGTTTTAAAGCGCATTTTTTCAGCGTTTGCATGTAAGGTTCTCAACCAAGAATCCAGACTCTCTCAGCACAG